GGTAGTTCCTGTCTCCATCAGTAACTTGCATCCTCTGCCCTTAAAGTGGCTCTGTAGCCGGACGGCACTTGTCAGTCATCGATAGTAACAGCAACATAGCGTCCATTAATTTACTGCGTGCTGACGACACGGCAGGCACTGTGCTAAGTAGCCTGCATGCACTGTCTCACTTATTAACACAGAACCTGTGGAACCAAAGCTCTCCCCGCCTCACCGCGGGGTTCAGTTTTAAGAATATTTAAGTGATTTTCCCACAGTGCCAGGGCTGGGAAAGGGCGGCACCAGAATTCCAGCTCAGGTTTTTGTGTACTTGTTATTTTTGTTGATTCTAAAGCTCACCTTTTTACTCATGTGTTAATGCTGGGGTTTGTGCTTCTGCAGCTGGTTTTCTTTGAAGGAACGGAGGGAAATAGAACCACCGTAAGCTCAGTTCTGATAATTCCCTTGGTACTGTTTTCTGTGGAGACGTCATTTGTATGTGCCGGGCTGTTACATTTACCTAACATGACAACCAGGCAGAAGAGAAGAAAGCTGACACTTGGCTTACGTAAAACGTGGTCAGAGGCTTTCTGAGTGCATTTGTCACTAAAATAATATTTATTTACTCACCTGAATAATCTTGTGTGACTAGTCTGACTCTATTTTAAGTGAGCACCTTGGAATAGCACAAAGCTCAGACTCATAACCTCTGCTGATCCTGGAAATTTCTAGTGGATCCAGGTCCTGGCATGTGTTGTAATGAGCTTGATCTTGTGGACAATATTGCTGATATCCTCACCCCCGTATTAGATTTTCATCCCAATTCTTTTTCTTTTTCTTTTTTATTTTTTTTAAATTTTCTTAAGACAGAATCTCACTTTGTTGTCCTTGGTAGAGTGCTATGGTGTCATAGCTCAGAGCAACCTCAAACTCTTGGGCTCAAGTGATCCTCTTGCCGCAGCCTCCCAAGTAGCTGGGACTACACGCGCCCACCACAATGCCCGGCTATTTTTTTTTTTTTTAAGACAGGGTCTCACTCTTGCTCAGGCTGCTCTCAAACTCCTGACCCAAGCAATTCCCCTGACTGCCTCCCAGAGTGCTAGGAGGCGTGATCAATTCTTTTTCTTTTAAATCTCAAGGTTGGGGCGGCGCCTGTGGCTCAATGAGTAGGGTACTAGCCCCACATACAGAGGGTGGCGGGTTCGTATCCAGCCCCAGGTAAACTGCAACAAAAAAATAGCCAGGTGTTGTGGTGGGCGCCTGTAGTCCCAGCTACTTGGGATGCTGAGGCAAGAGAATCGCCTAAGCCCAGGATTTGGAGGTTGCTCTGAGCTGTGATGCCACGGCACTCTATTGAGGGCAATAAAGTAAGACTCTGTCTCTAAGAATAATAATAATAAATAAATATATAAATAAATATCAAGGTTAGTTAAATTTTATTGCCATCAAAATACATGTACATTCCTTTCAAAGAGCTGACCAGCAAACACTTGTGTTAGAATTTGGAATATCTAAGTGATATATATTGGAGATGTTTCAATCATTCCTGGAATACCAAACTATAGGACAGCATGACACAATGAAAGAAATTAAATGTGACTTCATTAATATGCAAGACTTGGATGCCACAACTAGATTCCATCTCAAACCGAGGGCTGCAGCCCTGGGGTGCTTCGTGCCCCCGGGTTGCTTTACCATTGACTCTCCTGAGTGAAAATAAACTCCATGAAGAAAGTTGCTCCGCGTCACACTGGAAAATCTCTGAAATTATTTCATAATCTTTAGCCTGTTTTCAAAGTATTAGTCTCTGGAAGAATTTTAGTCTCTTGAAGCAAAAACTGTGCTATTGTTGAGAGCTGGAGGAAAATAAGCTTCTGTGATTATGGGCCTCTGAATACAAAGTCCACAGTGGATTATTCTGATTTGTCTCTGACAAAGGGAACTGGAAAGAGAAATAGAAAGAAAAAGAAAGCAAAGGGGAGAGATAGAGAGGGAGGGAAGGAAAGGAGAGGAGGAGGGAGGGAAGGAGGGATTATTATGCATAGTAACTGCATTGATAGACGTGATCTCAGGCTTAATAGGATCCTTTGTCTAAACTCCACGTACGGGCATTTCACATGCATGCAGCTTTATAGGTTTCAAAATAAACAACGGAGGAAAATGACCGGAAAGCTGAGAGTCTCCCTCCTTTTGTTGGAAGAGGTTTCATCTCTTTGCAACAGCCTCCCTGACAGCCTGAAGGTCTGTTGTCCCGATGAGATCCCGTTGCTGCCAGCACCACCTTCTGATTCAGTTCTGATTGTCCTCCCCGTGTTATCAAAGAAGTGGAAAGGGAGAAGGCAAACTGAAACCTTAAACCGGCAGAGCACCTAACCGATGCCAAGTTAAAACTGCTCAAGGGACGTTAAAAGCCTCTCTCTATTAAAGAGCCAAAAAAGAGAACTCCGTGCTTTAGAAGGTGGTGGAAGGGCCGTGCATGACTCCTGACATCCAGCTCGTTTTTTGCTTAGAAGGCCGTATTGTTCACCTGGTTTGGGGGCTCCGCATTCCCCAAAGGCCGACTACTGTGAGCGGGAAGCCATGTTCTAAGGGCAGCTTGGGAACGTGTTTGAGAAGGAAGGGCTCTTAGGACACATCCTGAATTCTGGAAGCCAAATGAAACCCCAAGGGATTCACACCTTCGGGTGTGATGGGAGGGCTGACAGAGCTGGTCTTGGGGAGGGGGGCAGTAAGCGAGATAGACAAGTTCTTTTTCTTTTTTTTTTTTTTTTTT